TTGGCAAAGAGACAAAGGATGAGAACAGAAGCAATATGCCAGTAAAATGGGCCATCAGCAACTGGCTTTATTTGGCAGAGGGGATGAAGGACCAAACTTATTGCTAGCATGAACAGTGCTATGGTAAGTACAGATCTGAAACTTCAGCTGGAATTGCTATTCTAAACACACTTGTGGCCACTCTGCAGCACATGCCCTGGCACAATGAACAGCAGGAAATCTACAAACTTACAGCCAACTTCTTCCTTGCCTCCCACTCCATGGTACTCAGAAGTAGGTGCTGTAGTGTTTTAACAAGTTTTGGGGGCCAGGCTAAGCCTTTTGCATATAATACTTATGTTAGCAAGCCATTCTTTTCTGATTATCTAATCTTATGTTAGAAAAAATTTTGGAACCTTTGTACTTTGTTTTTTTGTTGTTGTTGTTGTTGTTTTGAGACAGGGTTTCTCTGTGTAGCTTTAATTATAGTACTGGAACTCACTCTGTAGATAATGCTAACCCCAAACTCACAGAGCTCTGCCCACCTCCACCCCTGCTTCCCAATGGAGGTGCCATTGTTTACAGCAAAGCTCAGAACAATCTTCTTATGCTCATTTCACCTTTGACTACACTCTGGAAGTGCCTATGCTCTCCTGCACTTACCTGCCACTACGTCAGAGTGGCACTTGTGTTGTGGGACACTCACTGTGGAAACATACTCTCAATTCTCTTAGACCACTGTGGCTTAGCACTTGCTGCTTATTTAATGCTTTACGAGAGAGTACAAGAACATATGCTAATATTTTGTAGGTGTGATGGAACTTTAGTCTCTGATAACCTCACAACTTCTAACGGGAATTAAAAGGCGCAGCAGTACAAAGAGAAAAGCAAGCAGACCCGCACACCAAGATCTGTGCACAGGGGCTGGAGAGATGGCTCAGCAGGTAGAGTACTGACTGACTGCTCCCTGAGAACCCAGGCTCTGCTCCCAGCACCCATACAGAGCCTCAGGTCCAGAACATCTGGCACCCTCGCCTGGTCTTTGTAGGCACTGAATACACACAGTGCAAAGACATGCATGTAGGCCAAATGCCCATACACATATCAAATAAATCTCCATTTTTAAAACATTTGTGCAGTTACCAAAGCACTACACAAATGCCCATCATCTGATAAACACATCAATACAATGTGGTAACAACAGAATAATATTCAGTCGCAACAAGATTTGACACGTGCTGTAACGGAGATGAGCCTTCTAAGACTAGGCAAACTGAAGAGAGCCACCACAAAAGGGTACATAAAGAGTGTTCATAGCAGACAAACCTAGAAACATAAAAATCAGACTGATGGTTCTGTAGATAGCTTTCACATAACTGACCAACGATACACACAGATACACACGCACACACACACACACACACACACAATCACCCTTGTCTTTTTTTAGCCCAACAAACAGTTGAGACTTACTGTATAGCAGGTACTATTCTAGAAGCATGTGTGTAAAAATACCAAGATAAGAACCTCCTCTATTATTAGCTTCTTACAACTGTGGATATTGGCCCCGTATGAAGGGAGGAAAAAAAAGTAAGTATCTTGGAAAAAAAGTTAAGCATTCTAGAAAATGCAACCACCAAAACTGACTTGGAATCAGACGTGCAATGGGTCAAAGACCTCAGCAGTGCGTGCCTGTCTTGCACTGTGAACTTTACTGCAGCCCTGGCTGCACACAGGCGTGTACTTTGCACCGCACGTGCTGTTGTGCTATCCGCCCTTGAATGCTGCCTGAGACTTCAGTGTGTTAAGAACTGATGTTTTTGCCGGGCGGTGGTGGCACACGCCTTTAATCCCAGCACTCGGGAGGCAGAGGCAGGCGGATCTCTATGAGTTCGAGGCTGGGCTGGACCGATAGCCTCCAAAACAATACAGAGAAACCCTGTCTCCTAAAAACCAAAAAAAAAAAAAAAAAAAAAAAAAACCCCAAAAAAACCTGATGTTTTTACTGTGCAAGATTTCTGTTCTTGTACAAATAATGGTTTAAGAACAAAAAACATTACTTCTACCATTAGTCCTCAGCATAAAGTATCAAGTTCTAATATCTTTTGAAACGTTCCTAAACGTACCTGTCATCTTGTATTATATATTAATCAAGGTGGCCTTTTCAATATTGACCTAAATTATCAGCTAACTCTGAAAAATATCCTAGATGCTCAACACTTGGTAGTATCAAATATTCAATCATTATTTAAATTCTTTAAAAATACACAAATTCATCAATCTCCATTAGCATGCAAGTTTGCTTTCATTTAATAAATGATAAAAAATTATATTCATGTTAAAATTGTTTTAAAATAAATGCCTTTGTAGCTGGGCAATGGTGGTGCATGCCTGTAATCCTAGCACTGTGAGTTTGAGGCCAGCCTGGCCTACAGAGCTAGTTCCAGGATAGGTTTCAAAGCTACAGAGAAACCCTGTCTTGAAAAACAAAACAAAACAACAACAAAGAGTCTCTGTTACCAGTAGATGTTTAATTTGCATATTTGTTGCATATATCCAGGGTCACAAAACAATTTCTTGGGCTGGGGGCTAGTGGTTAAGACAGTGGCTGCTCTTGCAGAGGCCTTGGGCTTGGTTCAGCACCTACAAGGCTGCTTAAAGTAATCTGACCCCTCTTGTGGCCTTCACAGGCTCTGCACATGAAGGTGGTATAAATGTGCATGCAAACAGAACACTCTTAAACATAAAGAAATCTTTAAAAGCTTCTCTTTTAATCTCAACAGTCAGGAAGCAGTTCCAGGCCAGCCTGGTCTACTGAGCAAGTTCCAGGCCAGCCTGGGCTGCTACATAGTTTGGGGATAGACACATGGTACAACAACAAAAACAAACAAACAAAAACGATACTAATAAAAACAAGTCTTTCTTGAGATACAAGGGGTTGCAAATGGGCGAAATTTATGAAGTCCTGCTCTTACTGGAGCTTGCGATCCAGTAAACAGCTTTAAAACATACACTAAACAAGATGCTCCATGATGGGCTGGCTAGGAAAGGAGGCGTCTCTGCGAGAGCAAAGCCTGAGGTGGAGACAAGGAGAACAAAGGGATAGCCACAGAGATAAGGAGACTCACTGTCCTCAGTGGTCTCATCTACTAACTTTCTGGGAAAGGTGGCTCTAGGCTGTGGGTAGACACAGCGATAACTCTCGAGTCTTTTCAAAATTTTTCTTTTATATTTCGAGATTATAATACGATCACATCATTTTTCCTTTTCTGTTCCTCTCTCCAACTCTTCCCATTTACCCCCTTTCCTTATCTTCTCACAAGTCTTTTAAATTTTTTAAATTTTTTTTGAGAAAAGGTCTCTTGGCTGGGCTGGCTTCAACCTTAGAGATGCTTCTGCCTCTGCCTCCCAGGCTCTGGGGTTAAAGGCTCTCCCCCCCAAGTCTTTAAGAAAACCATCTCTGGACAATGCAGCTTCAATTGACATTTCTCTCCTTTTCTTGGGCCTTCAGCAACTCTTCCCTATTAGTCATTCTTGCAACCCTTTTTAGTGAAGAGGCACTGTGTTAAAAGTCCCAGGACTTAAGGACAAATCAGACACACACCTAACAAACAGTCTCTAAGGTAGGCAACAATCTAGCAGAGCAAATAATTGCATGCACTCCTGCAGTGTGTGTGTGTGCGCGCGCGCACACACACACACACACACACACACACACACACACACACACACACACACACACACACACACACACTCTCTCTCTCTCTCCAATACCAAGTCAAAGTGGGATGTATGAGAGAAGTGTAAAATGAATTCGGAGATTACTAACAGCAGGGTAGGAAAAGCTCATGTGGTAGGAACAGAAAAGGGAGTATCTAATTATGACTGTGGATCTGGACTTGTGGGTAAAAATAAAAACATTTATTTTGTTTAGTATCACTGATTTCACTTTAAATAGACTTTTAATTATTTTCAGCTCCCAAAGCAGGCATCAAGCCCAGGGACCAAAAGCTTGCTATTCCTCATGCCTCTGAGATATTCAACACAGCATTCTCAAGAGCCGGTTCAGTCATCTGCTACACTGGATGACTCTCCACTTCAGAACTGAAGGATGGCTCAGAGACCCTTGGAATGTCCACCACAGCATTATTTCAGGATATACCCATAAAAAAACATTTGCATATGCGTGTGTTTATATACAGAAAACATTACTGCACTTTTAATTCACAATCTTACAAATTCTATTAGTTCTTTTTTGTTTTTGTTTTAAATTTTCCAATCAATCTCCCTGTGCAGTCAGCAACTTCCTGAGTGCTGGAGTTACAGGTATGGGTCACCACACCTGGCCCACAGAATTTTTGTTTTAAAGATTAAAAAACATGTTTAAAAGTGTGTGTGTGTACGTTCACATGAAAGCAGGTATTTGAGGCCAGAGGCATCAGAGCTCCCAGAGCTTAAGTCACAAGCAATTGCCAGCAGCCTGACATGGATGCAGGAAACTGAATTCAGGTCCTAAGCATGAGCAGCTTCTTAATCATTCCTGGGCCATCTCTTCAGCCTTGCACTATTTTAAGTCTGCATTACTAAACTGAAGCTTGTACTTCAAACTGTTTCTTTTTCCATTTTCATGTGTGCCTGAGTTCCTTTTACATTAGTCACAGAGGCAGGGTCTCTCAGTCAAATCAGAGGTCCCTGACATGGCTAGTTCACTACCCAGCTTACACAGGGAATCCCATCTGACTCAAGAGGCTGCAATTACAGACAGGCCCCCTGCCCACCTGCATTTTCATGAGTTCTGGGACCCAGATTCCAGTCTTCGTGTTTGTGTAGCAAGCAAGAGCTTTTAACCATTGAGCCATCTCCCTCCCCCCACCCATTTTTCCCCACTGAGCAAACCTTCATACCCAGCCCCTCAGAATTCTTTCCCAATCCCAACACAACATATTAACCACTGAAGAAAAGTCATTCTTTTGAGGCAATGTCTCATTATCTCCAAAAAAATATTCCATGGCCAAACTCACCATAGAGAGCTGTCCAAGTTTGATTAATTACATCTAGACACACAGTTCCTGACCTGAAACAGATGGAAAAAAAATGGCACTTTAAAAAAAAATCAGAAATCTAGTTGCATGTTTCCGGCAGGCAGCTAATTTTATCAAACACTTTGTAACAGCCTGTAAGATGCAGGTGGGAGTAAGGAGATGAGAAGCACAGGTATTTACAAGCTTCTTTGTGCCTCGATACAACCAACAGGGAACCAGAGCAACATAGGAAGAGAAAACACCTGAACCAGGTGGTGAGAATTAACCCAAGGAACAAGGATAGATACACCTTATGATTCCCCAAGGACAGAATTTCACTATACAGTCAAGCGTGTGCATATTCTGAGTCTCCTAAGAAAAACAGACAAACGCAAATTAAATATTAATTAATTTACAATAACTTCATTTCTTAAAACCTTAACTTAATAGCAGACACAGGCTGAGGAACTGATCCTGATTAAAGGAACTTGACAACGGAAGGCAGCATGGAGCCTGACATCACTGCACTACAGACTAGATAAAAAGTATTGCATCAAACTAAATTCCTGAGTCTACTTTACTGGGGTTACATAAGAGAACATCCTGTCACTAGGATGGTGGATACACAAAGTATTAAAGGTTAAGGGCCACAATGTAGACATGTAACCTACACATACAAGGTTCACAAAAATCTCCTATGCAGCAAAAGCTGAAGCTGGACAAAGAAAAAGTATAGTCCAAATAATCAGCAGTAGAAGGACAAGACAGGTAACAGTCCTTAAGCAATAGATAATTAAGATCAACTAAAATTATCATTCATAATCTGTCTCTCAAGAACTAAGAAATATGTTAAGGGCTGAAACGGTAAATCCGTATGCGGACAAAGGTTTGAGTTGGGTCCACACATAAGACTGAGATGGCTATCAAAAGACATGGAAAGGCAGTCATGAAAACGGGAAAAATGTCAGCAGTACAATCAATAATTGCACTGGAACCTCAATGGCTTAGACAATCACACCCCTAGGACCACTCACACAGTGCTACGTCCCCAACAGTGAGAGAGATGACCTCTAAAAAATCGAGAACAGCTGCTGCTAAAATTTAAACATTTTTAAATAGTTACTTACGCTTCATCAATGTTGGGGTGGAAAATTTTATTCATGAATCCTGCAAAAAGAGATGTTAATTAGCAGCACAAAGTATGCAGAGAACATCAAATTTTAACTTGTCAGTACTGGAGACTGGAGACAAACTTTGGGACCATGCAGCTTTTTGTATAAAATATCTTAAAAGCAACTGTCTTCTGAAACATGAAGGAACTTGCCAAAACAGAATATATAACATTAAGTGATTTATAACTAGTGCCACAATGAAAGCTAAGAAATGTTCAAAGAGTTGAACTGTTGGAGCTTTACTGGAGGTCCACACTTGACCTTCAGAAGCATATTTACAGGTGTCCTTTGGCCACACAGTGAAACGTGAACGAAGCTGCTTCAGTTAGGAGAACACCACTTCCAAACCACAAAATGTCACAACAGTGACCAAAGCAGTTCCTGTGAGTCTCTATGCTCAGTCAAATTCTGATTACAATTGGGGCACCCGAGCAATATGGCAGGACTTTAAAATGTATTCTCTAAGAGAGCTGAATCTGCAGCACTTGGGAGGTAGAAGCAGGCATATCTCTGCAAATTCCAGGTCAGCCAGGGAAGTTCCACAAGAAGGCCCGTCTTGACAAACCAAAGGGGTGGGAGTAGAGGAAAGACAGCTGAATCTGCCAGAGATTTAACTTTCCCCACAGTTCTGATTGCTCCTTCCTAAGATGCTTGTCAGCGCCTACTTGGCAGTCATTTTGTTAGGGTACAAAAATGAGGCTGCACACTATTCTCTCAGGTCCCTGTAGCAGCAGGCCAGGAGACAAGAAGTGAGTGTGATGTATAGAAGTATGGTCACAATCAGAGCACATGTGGAAAGAGAAGAGAGGGTATGGAAACAGACGCCACAGACTCAGGAGGAGCCTTAAGTGATTTCCCAAAACATTACAGCATCCCTCAAATCAGGATAAGAACACAAAAGCACGGGCACTTTGCTCTAGCCATTCCAAATAACAACCCCACTCTTTAATTCATCTTTAGGACTTCAATGTTTCAACTGATTAAAGTTTTATTTACCATTACAGCAAGAAAGTTCTGTAATGTGTAAATAAGTCTGCATCAATATTAATTTTTTCAAAAGGAAAATTAGGGATGCTTAAAAGATATCCCAAGCTAATAATAGAACTGCTCATACCTTAAACGAAAAAAATTCCTAGGGTTAAATTCCTTGTAACCCTAGGAAAATGCTAATAACTAACACACATGTCCAGGTTAAGCTATGAGAATACTAGAAGTTAACATTGTAACAGTTAGGCATCGCTGCTGCACACCTTTAATTCCAGCACCACAGAGGTTTAAGCTGGAGAATCTCTTGAGTTCAAGGTCAGCCTGGTATACATAGTGAGGTTCCAGGTAAACTAGGGCTACACAGTGAGGCATCTTAGAAAGGGGGGAGGAGAGGGCTAGAGAGATGATTCAGTGGTTAAGAGCTATCTTTCTTCCAGAGGACCTGGGTTCAGTTCCCCATACAAACATGGCAACTCACAACTGTTGGTAACTACAGTTCCAGGGACGTGACACCCTTATACAGACATAGATGCACCACTGCACATGAAATAAAATTCATTATTTTTTTTTAAAGTCACCTGAAACCCAGCCTGGATGTAATGGCGAACGCCTTTAATCCCAGCACTCAGGAGGCAGAGGAAGGTGAATCTCCTTCTCCAGTGCACAGTAGTTAATGCAAATGCTTATTGCTCGCACACTCAGCCCTAAATGAGACGACATTTCAAACCCCAAGGACCCACACCAAGGTTCAGAAACATGGAGGATGAGGAGGCAGAAAGAACGTTAAGAGGTAGAGGAGGGCCAGGAGTGCTTCGGTAATGTGCTGACGTAAGGACGTGAGAGGTCATAAGGTGATAGGCACACTGGGAATTTGGGGGAAAAGCAGGAGGGAGTGTGGGGAGTGTATATGATCAATACAAGGTATACACGTATAAACTTGCCAAAGAATAAATTAAAAATACTCGGGATTTAAACAAGTCAAAACTACGTAACAGATTGATGATATAGTACTACTTAAATGAAGTACTCCGTGCTTTAGGGGAAAATTCTATTGAGCCACACATATCAAGGTTGCAAAGGTATTTTCACAGGCTACAGAGCCATGGCTGCAGTGCGCACTGAAACAGACTAGGGAGAGAGGAAGGTTCCCGATTACTTGACGTGCTCAGGGAGGCGCTGCATGCCTGCCATCAGGAGGCTGAAGCAGAGGCTGAAGCAGGGTTTCAAGTCTGAGACCAGCCGAGGTGATTCAGTCAGACCCTGTCTCTAAAGGCAGATTTTATACAGCACTAATATGCCTTTTAAAGAGAGACAAAGGTGGCTGGAGAGATAGCCCGGATGTTAAGAGCGGAGGCAGCTACTGCTAAAGACCTGAGCTCAGTTCCCAGCATCCGCATGGCGGCTCAATTACCTGTACCTCCAGCTCCAGGAGACCTGACATCCTCTGACCACACATGGCACATATATAAATTTAAACACACAAAATAAGAAAAAACTAAGTAAAGAAAAAGACACAAGTGAGGGTTGGAGGGATAGCTCAGTGGTTAACAGCACTGGTTGCTCTTCCAGAGGACCTAGGTTCAATTCCCAGAACCATGTGACAGCTATCAACTGTAACTCCAGTTCCAGGGAATTTGATCTCTTCTGGCAATGCACGCACATACAATCAGATAAAACTTCCTGTATACAAAAATAAATCTTTGAAAGGAGAGACAAGGTGCTTGGGTATTCTTGCCTTTTTTTGTTGTTGTTGTTTTGTTTTGTTTTTCGAGACAGGGTTTCTCTGTATAGCTCTGTATAGCTTTGGAGACTGTCCTGAAACTCACTCTGTAGACCAGGCTGGCCTCAACTCACAGAGATCTGCCTGCCTCTGCCTCCCGAGTGCTGGGATTAAAGGCATGCGCCACCAATGCCCAGCTGCTTCTATTTTTTTTTAAACAGCAAGTGTGCACATAGATAAGCTGGAAGCAAACATATTCAAAGGTTAACAGTGCAGAATTCTCAGTTGAAACACTTTTGCAGAACCAAACAAGGATATAACAATGTGAAAAGCCCACAAGTGTCTGAGTGTCAGCTCCAGTATTTCTATGTTTCCTTCCTGGTTCTCCTGAATTTCTATGATGTTTAATATTAGTAGTTCAAAACCATTCAAATAAATAGAAACAATATTAAGTGTTTCCGTCTGTCCCGTCACTCCCCCCATGTTTGTTTTTTTCCAAGACAGAGTTTCTTTGTGTAACAGTCAATCAATCATGTGTACAGCCTGCACACCAGCAGAGGGCACCAGATCTCATTCAAGGTGGTTGTGAGCCACCATATGATTGCCAGGAATATTACTTAAGACCTCTGGAAAAACAGTCAGTGCTCTTAACTGCTGAGCCATCTCTCCAGCCCCATCAATATCACATTTTTAAAGTATATTTAATTATATGTATGTTAACTAGTCCTGAATCTTCTAAAGGAAAATGATCAATAAAACAAAATCAAACTATTCTGAGATCTCATATCCTCTTGTTTAAATAAAAGATCTGTTACCTTTAAGAATATACTATTATTTCAATCAAAAAGGACTTTAGAGGGTGACCTCAAATTTGCAATGCTTCTCCCTGCCTCCGACACACTGGGACTAAACTAAGGGTCTCACACATATGAGGTTGAGTATTCTACAACTTATCTACCCCACAGCCTACAAACTTTACAATGAACAGGGAACAAGACTGAATCACTACGTTTTAACTACAAATGGTTCTCGTGCATGAACTACAGCAGTTGGTAGCTACTATTAATAATCCAAAGAGGCTCTTAGCACTTCACATCCTGCTTCTGCTGGAACCTGTAGTGAGCAGTGGTGCAGCAAACGCTCCCCACACTGACTATAGATAGCACTTGTCTGAAGAGCTCTATACAACAAACACATGTTGAATTAGAAGGTGGCTAGTATTATGTAAGGAAAAAAAATAGGAAGGTGAGGGGCAAAGGTTGCAATTTTCAGTTGGGGCCAGGAAAGAGTGAGTATGAACAGCATTTGGTACTGAAAAGAACACCTACGATAAGGAAAGCCAGGTGAAAAGTGCACCAGAAGTCTGCTTCATTTATACTTTTGAAGATCAATGAAGATATTAGCTGAGGTGCGGGGTAGGGGTGTGGAATGGGACAAAAGTCTAGATGTGGGGGCAGAGAGAGGGCACTAGCTTTCACAAGAAGGGGGTGACAAACCACTGAAACTAGCATCAACATATTCTTGTTTTTAAACAAAAAGCAACAGCTCAATAGGCTCCCAGCACCTTCACTACTTGATAGAGAATACAATGAATGGCACATCTCCATCAAATGGAACGAATGGGACTCTTACATGAGAATTAAGCTTTAGCAATCTGACAGTATGGGGCACCTTAAAGGACTAAGAATGATGTTGGTGAAAAGCTCTGACTTTATCAAACTGTCCATGAAGGATTAAAGTATCCCTTTCTTTGGCTTTAGCCTGAAGAGTACAGTTGGAATCCATACAGTTTCAATTTGCCCTGGTTTGAATATAGTATACAAATGAAAGGACCAAAAAACTTCATCAATATACTTTAGTAACAAAAGATTTGGAGCATACAGCCCGGCATCCAGTATGTTGCTAAGAATTAACACCATCAGGGTGAGAGAGATGGTTGAGCAGTTGAGAGTACTGGCTGTTCTTCCAGAGGACCCTGATACAATTCCCAGCATCTATATGGCACCTTAAACCTGTTTGCAACTCCTGTTCCAGGGGACCCAATGGCCTCATACAGACATACCCACAGGCAAAACACTAATGTACATTATCAGAGTTCTAAGAAAGTTGGTAGCCAGGAGGTGGTGGTGCACACCTTTAATACCTGCACTCGGGAGGCAGAAGGCCAGCCTGGTCTACAGGGAGTTCCAGGACAGCCTCCGAAACAATACAGAGAAACCCTGTCTTGGGGGGGGGGGGAAGAGGGCAACAGCACATGCAGAGGGCAAGGTACTAAATGGACCAAGGGT